TGGCTGGAAGGAAGAAGTACCTGTTGTGAGAACTTTAAAGTGGGTCAAGTGGCTCCATTTTCCCCTCAAACAAGGTATTCTGATCAGCACCCAAATGCCAGGCACTTGACTAAACCCAAATCTCATCTCTGAAACTTTGAATTTCAATTGTAACTAAATGCAAATTGGAATACAATGGATCAATAATGTATTCAACATAAAGAACAATTAAGCATAGCACAGTTAACTTGCAGACATTCATGAAATTGTAGTGACTTTTGCTTTTAAACCATGGGTCAACCCAATGTAACTCAAAAGCAGCAGATTTAATACAAACAAGAGGAAGTACTTTTCACAAAATGCACAAGTCACCTGTGGAACTCATTGCTATGGGATGTTGTAATGGTCAAAAGTATAACTGCGGTCAAAAAAGAACTGGATAAGTAGATGGAGGATAGATTCATCAATGGCTATTAGCCAAGATAGTCAGGGATGCAACCTCATGCTCAGGTTGACCCCAAACGTCTGACTACCAGAAGCTGGGAGTGAAAGACAGGCGTGGATCATTCTACATTTGCCCTGTTGAGCACACTTGCCCTGAAGCTCTGGTATAGGCCACTGTCAAAGACAGGATACTGGCAGGGTGGCAACTCATATATTCTTACATAAACTTGTTCTTTGACCCAGTCACAAACACTAAAATACATGCAATAATACTGTATATGTGCTATTAGTGGCTGTCTGCTGTCAGCTTGTTTAATAATACTTAATGGTTCTATAACCTGACCATACTGATCCTTCTCCGTCTTACCTACAAACCCCTATGATTAACAACAAGCCCTACTGACCATTTGTGGTACCATCCTTATTACAGGGCCCCCTAAAGTTTCCATCAGTTTAATTTAGTGTGGATATCCTTCCCTTAGGGAAAATTCTTCATTTTCATAACCTTAATTTTCCACTTCTTTGCCAGTAACTCTCAGATCTGCCTCACTGATAGAAAGCCAACATATTTCAATCAGGTAAAGGTAACTCTAATTGCCTATGGGACATATAAAGCCTGAGTGAGTCTAAGCTTTCTTCATTTAAAATCTAGTAAAAAATGAGCTGGAGATGCTTAAGACTGGATCCCATTATCAGCCTTAGTCCAGGACAGTTTTCAATTCATTTTGAGACATTTTAAGTAACACCTGAAACCAGAGCAAAGATCATCTCTTTATGGGTTTTTATTCCTAGCTGATTTGAGAGTATCACGTTATTAGGCAAAGTGTGCAAAGGACTTCGTGTTATCAGTTGAAAGATTTTAGTTTGCCAGGTCTGCAATTAGTAGATTCTAAGAAACCCAGCCACACTTTTATTTTCCCTAGGAAAGACTCCAGTAATGCCCATCTGTTCACATAACACATATAAGATGATCAGTAATCTTTGTCAGTATATTCAAAATTTGGCTGCTAAGGTGTTTTGACGTGAAAAGTAGTGCATGCCATATCGTACCAATTTCTACATCCTTACACCCACTGCAAGTAAAGAATTGATTTCAAGATTATGGTGCTGATGTGTAAAACCTTCATAGACAGGGCTTTGATTATATCTTCAAGTGTATATCCATGTACAGCCTGCCTAGATTAACAGCACTCTGGCAAGTCTCTCTTTCTGAGTCCTGATATCCATGGACACAGAATGCTTGGCAGGGCCGGCTCCAGGCACCAGCAGAGGAAGCACGTGCCTGGGGTGGCACATGCTAAGGGGCAGCATTCCATCCATTGTTGGGGCGGCAGTCCAAGCGTTCTTTTTTTTTTCTTTCTTTCTTTTGGTCCGGCATTTCAGGCAGCAGTCCGGGAGGTCTTTTTTTTTTTTTTTTGGGCTTGGGGCGGCAAAAATGATAGAGCCGGCCCTGATGTTTGGGGCTACAACTTTTTATCTTTATGATCCATGAGTTTGAAATACGTTTCCTTGTTTTGTTTGTGCATCAAAGTACTAGCCTTAGTTTTTCCTTTCTGTAAAATGCTGGTATTTTTCTAACATCCTCCATTCATTGTATTACCTTTATTAGATAGTTTCTATCATCCTGGAAACCCTGGGCCAAATTCTTCAGTGATGTATGCAGTCACAACTTCTCCTGATGTCACGAAAGCGCTACTCACTTACACCATAAATTATTAGCCCTGACTACATAAGAGGCACACCACATACAGTTACCGCAGAGAAAAAACCATGACAGACACAAGCAACACATGGTGAGACAAAGCTCACTCTTACTTTCAAGATGAACACAACAAACGTGGATAATTAAAAGGTTAGGCAATTAGATCAGATTACAGTAAATGAAGTATACTCTCCGCTGCCCTCCTCACCTCCTTCCAAATACAGATCTTAATTGTTTTGAAATGTGTTTACATCAGCGTAAACGTAATAGCATCTGCATTGACCAATATAAAGTCAGAATCAAGAGAGAGCTGGAATTAAGAGCAAGTGGGCCTTGTACTTAAATCTTCTATTTTAAATTTCTCAATTGTAATGTAATTGGACCTACTGGATATTAACTCTTTTCCCTTTTCTACCAAGTGCACTAAATGAGAAAGGAAGAGTCTTTCCTGTCGTACAGGCTTTTATACTCAAATTTACTTCAAGGCATAGGTTATCATTCATCATAGCTTGGATTGCTTCTAATAATGCTGCAAGCATTTTACAACAAGACAGCAAAAATCTTGATTATTAGCAATTCAGATTTTAATCTGCAAGGCAAAACCAGAAAAACATCCTTTAAAGAGATAATTGCTATAGAAAAATAAGCAAACAACTAGCCTTTCATTTTCATGTGCAAAAATGGCTGTTGGTTAGAAGTGAATTGTTGCACTGGGGCAGGTTTCAAAGCTCATTTCTTTCCAATGCTGTACTTAAAGTGATTTATTTCATCCACAGGAATGAACCTTTCTTCCCCCATGTGACAAGCAGGATTCACATGGAGGAATTAATACTTCAAAAACTGAAAAAACAGCAATGAACTGAGAGAAGGATTTTTCTATCAGAGATGGTTTCCTAAATCCACCACCTTTGCTTTTGTGAATTATTTTGTCTGTCAAAATGCATTACACAAACCTATAGCTATTTAAAAGCCGGAAATTAATAATAGCTGACACTTCTTTTTGGACTTCTCATGCAGTGTGTCCTGCACCTTTCATTTTTTAAGCAAGCTTTGATGTGTTTTCTTTTGAGATGTTTTTAGAAAATGTCACATCAACCACTAGGCCAAGTTTATTCATCCTGTACGTAGAGGTGCAGTATTAACTTCCCTCTGCATGTTTGTGGCAGAAGCTAGACTTACCACCACCACCTTCCTTGGGAGTCTAGCCAACAAGATGAAGGCTCTGACAGCTTTAGATCTAAATTTTCTAACCTGACCAGGAATGCCTCCATTTTGGGGGAGCTTAGTTTGACCCCACCTTAAAGGGTGCCTGATTTTCAGAGGGCAGGTGCTTAGTACTTAGTGAAAATCTGATGCCTTTAAGGTTACTCCGGCCTGGGCACTCAAAGGTAGTCTCATTTGAAAATGTAGGCCCTTGATTGCTGCTGATCCTTAATCCTTAGTAGCCACACCAGTAAAGGCAGCTTAACAAAAGCACTGCTGCAGCGTATCCCAATCACCATGAACTCAACTTTTTCGCAGGGATTATTTGTACTTTTTGGGCTGGGATGGCCCCTTACATCTGTGACCTGAAGTATCTAGGGCAACCCACACTGAAAATGCCAAGGTCAGGCCAGGCTAGGGTGACCAGATGTCCCAATTTTATACAATACCAATTTTTGGGTCTTTTTCTTATATAGCCTCCTATTACCCCCCACCCCCGTCCCGATTTTTCAAACTTGCTGTCTGGTCACCCTAGGCCAGGCTACAAAAAGGAGAGCAGATTCTCCCAAACCTGGTGGTTAACACTATACTTAGATTCACCAGCAGGGGTGAAAGTAACACAGAAGACTTACCTGTACAAGAGAAGCACGATTGAAAACAAAATGGAGATGATACAGCTGCCTTTTTATATCCCTTGTCACGTGGCGTGTACATCCTTTGTCCCAAACACAAGCTCACAGCACATGGGTATGGAAAAGTACTTGGAGTCCCTTGTCCACAGGCACATTCCTACATGTCCTGCTGACTCAGAGGCATAGCCCCTGGCTTCTCTCAATGGGTTCATTATATTGCTGATTGCCCTTGATAGGCCATCAAGCAGGCTAGATAGTGCCGATGTCAATCTGTCTGGGGCGGGGTCACCCAGAAACATAGCACAGATGTGAGATACAAATATACCACACTTATAACTCGTGAAACAAAGATGATACAAAAATATAAACAAGATTATCATATTTAGAAAATCCTAACTTTTCCACTGATACCTTACATGGCATATTTTGTAAGATTCATTGCAACTTTGTAATATTGGGATCAATATTATAATACATGGTCAGACATATTCCATATAGCATCACAACTCCATTCTCCCAACACAACAGAAGCTGCTGTCCCCTCCCTCTTGATCCTCTAATAATTATAATTATTTATTATTTGCATTACCAAAGCACCTAAGGACCCTAGTCATGACCAGGACTCGCTGTGCTAGGTGAAGTACAAACCAGAACACAATCTACTCTGACACCGCAAGAGTGCCTCTGTCCATTTTTTAGCATTTTCTTGTACCACTTACTTATGTACGGTACTTCCTCATGGTTCTCCCCGTCCCCAAACATTTCTTGTTTGTGGCTAGAACAGTTTCAAAGAATTGTTATTTACTCCAATAGTAAATTAGTCACAACCTTATACAGGTCTCTCAACTAAACAGGTGGAAAGCTTTAATGATTCTTTAAGTGCCTAGCATAGCACTGAAATATGATTCTTAGCCCAGATTCCATCCATTGCAATGAGAGATTCCAAATCAGCTAAGTGGGACAGAGAATCATGTGTATTTACTAAAGTTCTATATACCAGGAAAGCAGCATAGACATTTTAAAACAAAAATGCAACTCACCTGGGTTTCAGATTTCACTGCAATCCTAATCTCAGCCTGGGTGTAGTGATACGTTCATGGAGCTTCACAGACCTTTAAAATGATGCACTCCAGTTTACAGATTTGCAGCACAAAAATCAGTTTTGGGGGTGTCACTCAAAACTCAGAATCTGGCTGCTTTCCTTTTGCTTTGAAGCTCTTGGTTTGTGCAGACTCATATGGTACAAAACAAACAAAACCCTCGTACAACACTCCTGCAAAATCAAGCCTGATGATTTCTGTATAGCCAGCCTACAGACACATGGCCTCTGCCTGCCCCACCTTCTGCTTCCATCTAAAAGGGCCTCCAAGAATTCTACAAAGACCTGAAGGAACGGCTAACAAGTTCTGCTCAACTCCTCCTTATTCCCCCAACAACTATTAACTTTAAGTAACATATTTCAAACATTTGCCACTCTCACTTTTTGTCTATAATGCGACAGCTACTTAACATATCAATCAGACACCCATCTGTGCATTGTTTTAAGTCAAGCTGGTCTATTGCATCTTTTCACACTTCAGTTAAAAAAAAAACATTGATGCCACTTACAGAATTCATGTTTTAAAAAAATCTGATTAACATTTTACCTTTCTTGTTCATCATTAATCATGAACAGATATGTAGGTCACTAGATGTTTCCCGCAGTAGGTAAGTAAATCCTGTTATTTAGCCCTGCAGTGCCAAGTATCAAGACCCAAATAATTGAACGTGTGTGAGTGTGAGTGTGAGTGAGAGAGTGTGTGAGAGCGAGAGAGAGAGAGATTGTGTGCAAGGGAAAGTAAATAGTAGGGAGAGATGTCTGTATTTCAGCTTCTTCCAACCAGTCTCGGAAGCTTTTTGGTGGCTTTAAAAATTACATCAGGACTTAATAGCTATGGTTTTCAATTCCTTTGTTCTTTCTGGGCTGTAGCAGTTTCAGAGCTAAGTTTAAAAAATGGATGGTACATCCCCTTTTCTAAATTAAATTGTCTATGTGGAGCCATTTACTAATGAAACTTATGCATGCCACAACCACATCAGGCTTCTATAATGTTATACAAGTCCCAGCTGCTTAGGGACTTTAAAGAGAGAGCATCACCTGCCAGACTTAAAAGTCTATTCCACAGCATCTGTTGAAACAGGAGGTCAACTTTAGGATAGCCATCAGAGGCAGAAAACGATAGGGCTCCAGTGAGAACACACAATCTGTAGTAATCCTCCTTTATGAAGCATTCAAATCCATTAAGGAGCACAACCCCCTGAAGCACTGCACATCCAAGACATTGCACTATTCAGTGCCTTCTAAAATAACTCTACCTACCTACAACCAAAAGGTAATTCATAAAGTAAATCTGAATTCACCCTTAGAGAGGGGTAACAATATGGCAGATGAGCCTACCCAAGGCATTTCAACAGCTGCATCATTCATTGCAAATGACCATTTAATGTTATGCTTGACATACCACACCAGCTTTGCTCAATTGTCTTGAAAACATAGCAGCCAAGACACAAAACTCTACCTGACCATTCTTTACCTAGACCATGGAAAGAAAAGATATTTTTGGTTTAAAAAAAAGCGACTCATCCCAGGCATATGGGCAGAAGAATTATTTAAGGAGACGTGAGCTTGTGACACTACACCCCATATTTGTCATAGTGATATTATAATATGATTATGGCATAATTATGATCCATTTGGTAGAAGATGAGTCATGTAAGGTGTCATTGGAAAAGTTATGATTTGTTGAATATGATTATCCTATTTCTGTGCATGTATCATTTTTGTATCTGAAGTTATGAATGTTGACTAGGTATCTGTATTTCAAATGTGCTCACTCTGGAAAACATCCACAGCGAATCTTTCTGGTACAACTATGAAGAAGCCAGACAGTGCTAATGCATCATCAGCAAAGACAATGGGCTATGGAAGAGTTTAGCCTTCCTGTAACATTTCAGCCAGCCTGTAAATAATGGCCGCTATGACTCAGCTAGGGCATGTGACCAAACCACACAATACTGGACTCCATTTTGGGTACCTGTATTTTTCAACAAACTGGGTGGGCACTGAGTTTGGAACAAAGGGTTCCAGCCAAAGGTTAAAGGTATATAAAGTGGGGTGTGACGTCATCTAGTGGCCTCACTCCCCTCACAAGAACACTCCTGGAAAAACCTGAGGAACAAAGACTGAACTAGGGAAAGTGCTGGTCCCAAGCTAAAAGGATTTATAGCCTGTATATGGAAACCTGGTGGAATACTTGTATCATCAACCAGGGTGAGAGATTGCTAATTCATATCTAATCTTTCTAGTATTTTAGTCTTAGTTTGCGTTTTTGTTTATTTACTAGGTAATCTGCTTTGATCTGTTTGCTATCACTTAAAATCTATCTTTTGTGGTTAATAAACTTGGTTTTTGCTTTATCTAAACGAGTGTGCCTTTGAGTGAAGTGTCTGGGGGGAAAATTCTCAGCTTGGTTAACACAGGCTTGTTGCATATTCCTCTTCACATTGAGGGAGGTGCGAACTATTTATGAGCTTACATTGTACAGATCCCTGTGCAGTGCAAGACCGTATAATTTTGCGTTTATACTCCAGTGGGGCGTGCATGCCTGGGGAGCTGGGAAATTGGCTGGTGTCTGCTGTTTGCACTCAGGTAGCTCAGTTTGTGTGAGTGCTGCCACCTGTTGTCATGTTGAGTGATAGGCCCTGGTAAGGCTGGTTGTAAATCTCCAGCAGAACAGGGTGAGCAGGGTCAGCCCAGCTGTGTGCCTTAGAGGGGCGCAGTGGTTCCCATTTCTCCCAGACTGCACCCATCACAGGGCTCAATGAGACGAAAGCTCTGACTAGCTTTGGCCAAATTTGCTAAAGAAAGCAGATTTGGCTCACCCAAATTTTGCAAATTTGTGTTGATTCTAGTGTATTATTTTGGTCCAAAAAAGGAAAATAAATTCAAAAGTGTTAAAATGGTTCATTTCAACATTAACCTAATGAAACATTTCAATTTTTCAGTCTAGATTCACAAGGGAACATAGGCACCATTCACAAAGCCACTGGAGGAGGAGAAGGCAGTGGTGGTGCTGAAACCTTCCTGCCTTATACCCAATAGCCCTGTGGTTAAGGCACTTACCTGGGATATAGCAGACTTCGGTTCAAATACTCATTCTGGATGCAGAAACTTGAACCCAGATGCTAGGTGAGTGCCCTCACCACCAAGTAGGGTGACCAGACAGCAAGTGTGAAAAATTGGGACAGGGGTTGGGGGGTAATAGGAGTCTATATAAGAAAAAGACGGAAAAATCGGGATTGTCCCTATAAAATCGGGACATCTGGTCACCCTACCACCAAGCTATGGACTATTTTGAGAATTGGCCCATGCCCCAAATCTGAACTTCCAGTCGGAGACAGACAAGAGATGGCATTCACTGAGAGGGCCACAGCACAGGGAAATAAACATTCTGGTTTTTATTTATTATGATTTCTGGCTCACATCTTGTGAAGAATCTGTAGGAGAACATGGATAAGGTGGTGGCTTATTAGTACAAGGAATTGTCCGGGAGAAGGGAAGACAGGGAGAAGATGATGAATGGAGCCTGAGGACTGACTGATAGGTGGAACAGCTGGGGGATATCTCATCACATCTCCTTTTGTGTAACTTAATACACAAACTTTGTGATTTCCCATTCACAGTTCTCTGTGACAAACTTCATCCCTTGCCAAAATACCTTTGGGCTGTCAGTCAGCCAAATAGTTGCCCTTTGTGTGACTGTTAAGGTTTCAATATGTGAATGTATTGCTCTCTCTCTGACACCTAGCCCCATTACTGTTCCTAGAGATTTCCGTGTTCCACAGAATATTATTCAGAGATTTTTCATGGCATTGTTCCGTGGATGATATTTGTAAGAACAAACCATTCCTTTCTCTTGTCAGCGTATGGTGTGTTTCATCTCCCACTATCGCAGAAAGTGACAGCTTGATTATAATGTAATTACCTTTTTTAGTGAACTCAGTGCATAATTTTATTTCCAGTTGGGTTTATACTGCTTCTATTTAAACTCATTATGAATAAGAGGACTTCACTGGAAAAATACAATGCTCACAATTATCTTTAAAACGTGATAATTACAAGGGGCCTACAGCAAGAGAAGAGTGTCCACTATTACATTGTTGAAAAGATCAGTTTCTTAAACCTGAAAGTGTAGATGTGTTTGAGAGCCCTTTAAGACATTTATATGGAAATTTCAAAAATAAGAGTTTCATTTTCATTGCTTGGCATATTGTAAAAGCTAACACACTGAACAGCTTCATTGTGTAAGGAGAAAGTAACGGCAGAGAAGGGACCAGAGTGAGGAAGTGCATTGCTCAAAGCAGGGATAGTGCCAACTCATGATCAATAAAATTTAAATGTGTTTTTACTGAGAGAAACCCCCCCCCAAATAGCTCGTTTGCAAGTAAAATGGTATTTGTTGATGGTAAGAACTGCATGCGGATACATTTTGCCAAAGCATGTGACAAGAAAATGCATGTAAATCAATGGAACTCTGCAGCATGAAGTGTGGTTCTTCTCTGAAAACTGACTCACTAAAGTGGCATCCTGGGGTTCTGTGTTTATTTCTTCTCAGCGACTTCCAAATCAAATAGTCATTCATAAGTAAGTGAATGACTAACTGCTAAACTATCAAAATGGAATCTTACAGTCCAGGTGTGTTTTCTTGCTCGTCAACAGCCCTGATAGATTCTACGCTTGGTACTTGCATCACTTACAGGGTTATTAACTAATGAGCCAGAAAATAATCTGGCTCCTTCTCTGTAAGCCGTGTCGGCTGTACAGTGTTAATATAAGTCAAAAGTAACAAAAAAAAGTCATGAAAGTGAGCCTGAAGTCCCAGACAGAGATCATGAATTTAGCAGGGAGGTATCATTTTTACTAGAGCTGGTCAAATATTTTCTGAAAAAGTATTTGTCTGTGGGGAAAAATGTTGATTTGACTAATTCACTGGCATAGTGACTGATTGACAACGACGTTTGAAGGCCACCTAAGGTACAAGAAATGAACTGGGAGGGGATCAGTTTAATATGCCCACATCTCAAACAATCCCCCTATCACAATCTTTATAATTGACATCTTTGTCAGCTCAATAGAACATACCATTTACACTGATTAACACTCACCCCTAGGGTATGTCTACACTACAGGATTAATCCGAATTTACAGAATTTGAATTTTGGAAACAGATTGTATAA